TGGTGGCTAGTCATGTGTTTCTCAGGTGGTCCGGTCCCGCTTGGGAACTTTGCAGTCATGACCACAGTTCATGTAAAAGCCTGGCTATGACCCTGACTCTCTGAGTGTTTCCTTCTAATCAAATTGGATTTTTTTGTGTGTGTTTTGTTTCAATTTTCATTAAGAACGAACTTGGATCTAACTGAAGAGCAGCTGTGTGTTATAAAACACAGCAGTGAGCATGTAGGGCTCAAAGGAAGGCCGATTAACATATTGTATCCTTGTGTGAGAAGCAAGGTCGGCCCGCTCGATACATCATATCATCCACCACTGCTCTGTGCAAAACGCTCCTGCTCTTCTTCCAGATGGCATTAACAGATGAAACCATCAGAGAACTTTCATTATTAACTACCAGCTCTGCATGAAACAGTGAATTAGAGGCTACGCCCACATGCACCAAAATATTCTCTTTCTTCTGGACGCTCAAGTATTCCTTTTATGAGCTGTAGGATATAAACACCACGTGTTAGAAATAAACTGCTCTCATCTGCAGTTAGGAGGAATCTGGAGGAGGTAATTGAGAGGTAAGTCATTATCCAGCTCCTGATACATAGAAATATATTCTGCCTGCTTTGCATAAAGGAACATATTAAAAAAACAAATAAAGAAAAGATTAAATAAAGAAAACACGTTTTAATGATGACGAAAACAATAATTTATAAGGAAGAATTCCATACTTAAAAAAATTAAGACCTACTTTGTAGAACAGTAGAAAAAATATAAACTACCTTTATGATTAAAAACCAGACTGACGTGTCGACTACAATCAATTTATTCATGAAGGTAACATAAGTATCAGCCATGACAGATGATTTAAAGAAAACGTGCTCATCTGAAAAAGTTAAATTGTAATGAAAACACACAGTGAGTTTCCTCTTTTTAGGAAATTATCTTAAGATCTGCTTAAATTTGGGTGTGAACATAAGGTGTCACCTTCATTTTTATTAGAGTACAGGTTCCTACAACTTCCATGAATCAAAACTGACAATACCCCAGAAAAGGCTGAGCTTGTCTCATATCAATTAATACATGTCACTTTCTCTCTACCTTCTCCTCTGTCAGTATAATCACAGTGAAGGCCTCAGGATGCCTCAAATGAAGTGCTTGTAGAGGATGTGAAAAACCACATTTCTGATGACAGAATCAGAGGTATCATGCAAGTGTTCACTCCTTTCATTGGTTAATGAGTGTCTATAGAGGGAACGAGAAAGCAAACACAGGAAGAGGGTCCTGAAAAACTGTGACGTACACCACAGCCACACTCTGTTTGACAAAAGACAAAACCTCTCATGCAACACTTCTTTGAACCCCACTACAACTTGACACTGTAGTGAATAAACACGAGGCCAAACCAAGCAATAATCTACTCTATAATTCATTATATATGAAGACATGATTCACTTTACATGTAACAAGATATAACCCTTACCCTAACCTTAACTGCCTCTCCTTTAACACTTCATAACTAGCTAAATGTTAACTTTTTCTCCAAGGGGAGAAGGTGGATGATAGTGGATTGATGTGTAGGTATGGCGGGCGAGTCATGTAGCTGCTCCAGCTGCAACTATACTTACTTGGAAAAAGGTATCTGCCCAATTATCAGCCATCTCCATCCCAGCATGCAGAGCGCACCTGGCTATGGGAGTTCAAACTTGGAGAGTGCCCTTTGTAGTTGGGTCAGATCAACGTTTTCACAGCAAAACAAACCTTCTCAGAATCTGTTTGAAGCCAGACCCAGACCACGTTTTCTAAAGGGTCTTGGTATGGTTGTTTTGGTCGGTTTGTATGTAAGTGTGATTGCTGTGTTCAGAGCAGGGACATTTTTGCCTTTTAAATGTGGTGTGACCAGCTATGAAGATGGAATGCAGCGTGAGTACCGTACCCGAGACAGAGATGAGGGAGCAATGAAACAAGTTGATCACAGCTTTCCCAGGGCCTGTTATTGCACACCAACCACTGTCCCCAGAGGGGGAAACTCAAGGGACTGTTGTCGACTCAAGTCATTCACCTCTGAAGTGTAGGGGAGGTCCACAGCATTCTATGTAAGGGAGCTGGGTTGACAGTGACTTGTTCAATTGAATTTTTTACACTCTTATTCACAAGCTTTAGTATCTGTAAAAAGCATAGTACATGGGCAAGCATGTGACCAATTCTGCTCAAGACATGAGCACTACACAAACACATGAAAGCAAGAATATATCTCTGGCCTTATCAACCGTCATTCAACAGTGGTTTCTTTTAACCATGACCACCATTGTTATTTGGCCCCAACACTTTTATTATTTCCGCTATAACAACAAAGAACCCCTCATCTTAATTAAGTTCTGATTGTACCACAAACCACAACGCTTCCTTTTCCGAATCATAACCGTAGCCTGTTCATCATGAAATGAAGCTCAGCGTAAGTTCAATCAGGAAGATCTTTCTCGAGCTCACCCTTTCACATTTTTCTCCATCCCACTCTCACTACTTTCTCTAATCAGCTGACTATGGGTGTTCACTGTTCTAGTTATCCAATCACACTTTGCCACGATCTCTCAGCCAATCAGGATGCCACTGCAAAATTTTAAATCTGCTCTCTCTTCTGCTGTTGTCAGCCATCATTTTAGGCAGAATCTTCGCACCCTCCTCCACCTCCGGGGGGGTTCCCTATTCAGCTATGGATTCATCACCCTCCTTAAATCAAACCATCTCTACGGGATCTAATTGCCAAAGACTTTCCACATTCTTATTCATTCGTTCACATGTTAATAAATATTCTTCTATCTTAAAAACATGTCTCTCTTGATTGAAATAGATTTATGAATAATTTTGGGAGGCAAAGACAAATTTTTACCTTTTCCTGACAAGTGCAAATTTTAAGCAAAGTAACCCCGCATTCATGTGGTGTCAGAAAAATTGCACATGAAGGCCCCCTTAAGGCCCGAACATACTCGGGCGGAACATACGCGGAACGGACTCCGCGGAGGTCCGCGCGGACTCAAAGCGGACGTCCGCAAGGCCTGTGCGCTCAAAGCTCAGATTTTACGACCGTGCAGACTCCGCTCCGCGCACCAGTGACTGCTCGGCATGTATTTTTCACATTGCGGGGATTTTTCACGGACATTTTTACAGGAAACTACAACGCGGAAGTGCGCTCAACTATGGAAGCCCGAATGACTGCGGACATTCCTCGCGGAGTCCGTTCCGCTTGTAGTACGCCCAAGTATGTTCGGGCCTTTAGCTCGGAACAACAACTCAGACAGTCGGTGAAAATTTTGGTGCACAACTTGCCAAGTTTACATCATATTTCACAGGTACATGTCAGACAAAACTAGGGCTGCTCGATTATGGAAAAAATCATAATCACGATTATTCTGGTCAAAACTGAAATCACAATTATGCAAACGATTATGCAGCGCATGTGATGACTTACATTGTTTACACAACGGCATGTCATTTCTGTCTCTACATGGTTGTGCATTTACAATTCTCCTCTGCTCTCTGTATCGGACACGGTGGAGACACACAGATACGTGCGCACACGCACACACACACACACACACACACACACACTTTTTCCAAATGCTGTTTTTGAAATCTTCCGCGATCACCTGCCCCTCGCATTATTCGTAGCTCACCTACTTGACTGGCTCGTGGAGTGAATAGAGGAGAGGAGGGGAGGGGGCAGTATTGCACATTTGCGGCTTCCGTAGAAGACAAAATAACATCTCCGGGCGTCCATGACCAAAAATCGTTTACCCTCGATTTCATTAATTTGAAATCGTTTGACCTCAAAATCATAATCGCAATCACCAGACGATTAATTGCACAGCCTTAGATGAAAGTGAGTATTTGGGTGATATTAAGAAACATATTAGAAACACATACATTTTTGCTCACATGGAGTTTGTAATATGGTATGAGGTTGTGACTTTAAGTTCTTGCCCACAAAGAGTGACCTAGATTAGTAAGAAAACGTATTTATTAGCATTAACCCTGATAGCAAAGGTAAAGCAATATTTAAGTGGTTTTAGGGGGTGTACTGATGCAGCAACAAGTCTGAGAAAAACACAAACACTTTGTAGTATACAGCTTGAAACTGTGTCAACATTCTTGGATCGCAACATGAATCTTGACTGGGATATTAAATGCTACAAGCAATAAAATACATCACATCTTCTTTGTAGCACCCATGTTTTTTCACATTACGACTTAAAAGATTATGAACACACCAAAGTCGGAAGAACAACTTCCCAACTTAAGAAATGGGATTGTGCAAGGAGCACTTGAATGCACCATTAGACTGCTGTCTGTGAAAATGTGTTAATTTCTTTTAATATGATTACCATCTTTCACTGATCTCCACCAAGTAATTTCTTTTTTTGTTTTTAACCAAAGCCCAATCTTTCTCTGAAGTTGTTCCTCTTCTCACTTTAAACTTCACCTTATCTGTCATTTCTTGTTTTGGAGCTGATACTCAGGAGTCATTTACTATAACCTTGATTTCATTTACATTAAGAACATGTCACAACTTTCCTGTACTATTAGATGTCCTTCTTACAGGACGCCACAAAACTATGTTTCATCTCACTTGATAAAGATTACTTTAACAGATTTATCAGAAAACTATGTGTCTATGTTTATATATATATATTTTAAATTGTAAGAGTACATATTCTTAAGCAGTAGGTTGAGGTTTGCCAGTAAATGAGAGAGGTTAATTAAAAAAAAAAAAAAAAAAAAAACTTGATGTGAACAATGACATTAGAAATCACATTTTCTTAGGAAGGAAAATGTATCTGAATAGGGTTAAATGCAGACAAAAATAAGCTTCTCTAAACTCCTAATAAACACAGAAGAGTCTAATAAAGAGATGTGTGTATATTTCTTTTGTTTTTTCCATGGTTTTCCCTAGGCTTAAAGAACAGGTGGGGAGCAGCAGGGAGTGGCGGCGATGCCTAATGACGGTCATTACTCACCTCTCTCCGACGCTGGGGCCAGATCAATGAAGCTCCGACACTTCTCACCTGAGAGAGAGAGGAGAGGGGGGAGGGGAGGGGGGAGATGAATGGGCAGAGGAAGAGAGGGATGTAAAGAGGAAAAGAGGTGAAGAGCGCAAGGTGAAATGAGCTGGGAATGAAGCAGAACAGAGGGATGAGAGAAGGGAGGGGATGTCGGAAGGAGAGAAGACAGAGTGGATGAAGTGATTAATGAGAAGGAGACAAGGATGAAAGGATGAAAAATAATGCACAAGGAGAGAGAGAAGGATAAAATGAGCGTTAGTGTCAGTGCATGAAACCGATAATACAAACTAATAATGTGTCAGGCTCGCAAACAGTGACACAGTGAGTCAGTGACTTGGTTGGTATTCCAGTATCAACACTGTGTTGTAATATTCTGCTGGCAGCAAGGAATTTGCATCACCTTTACTGACATTATGTGACAAATCAGTCTTCAGCCATGATGCTAGATGGATGAAAGAATCTGCTTTTTACCCATGCTAGCAGTCATTTTGTTGGTCCACCACTTTGATCAAGATTGAAATACCTCAACATCTAATGAATGGATTGCCAAGAACATTTGTACAGACATTCATGTTCCCCAGAGGACAAAGCCCTCTGACTGTTCCACTAGTGCGACCATTACATCCACATTTGTTGTTTTCCAAAAATATCTCAACAGGTATTGGTGATGAAATGTAGTTTAGACATTCATGTTCCCCTCAGGATGAATTATTATAATTTTGGTGATCCAAGGTCAACATTAGGTCAACATTTTAATGTGTCCAAGACGATGTTTTAGGCCCAAATGCCTGCAGAACTAATGAAATTCAGCAAATCAGCATCAGCTGTACTTTGTTTATCAACCCCGTCAGCAGAAACAATGTTGCCATTGTACGTTTGTGCATACCACTGATAGGTTATATCTGTACATAATTATGTAGCGGATACATTGAAACATTTTCATTTCAAGAACACTGTGGGTAATGTGTGGTTGTGTTGTTAAGGCACAAAACCCACTAGGTTATGGTTAGGAAAGATCATGTTTTGGCATAAACGCAGTGATGTTTTGGTAAAAAAAAAAAACGCTTTTCATGGCATTATCCCCGGTGGAAACACAGGGACGGGTCGCTAAAAAACAGCCATGTTTGGTGGCCAAAAAGCTGCTGGAAGACTGGTTTTGTTGTTTGTTGGTTTCTGAAGCTTGGCAGGCATCTTGCCTACAAGTCATACCATCTACCATCCCCTCCACCTCCCCATGACAAAGTCAGCTCAAATACAACAACACTTTAGACACGTTGATATGATACATATGAAACATATAAATGTAAGGTATGGTGGTATGCAGAGACGTACAATGCCAACATTTTCCTCTTGCGACTGAGCTGTGTGTTTAGTTCTAAGTGGCAAAAAATAAAATGGTGACCGTGGTAAACATAATAACATCAGCACAGTTTCAGAGAGCTGCTAGCTTGGTTGTGTATTGTTTTTCCTTCAGGCTTTTTTTTTCTTTTGTATTATTCAGCTGTTGGTGCTGTGGATCTTTTTCTTCTTGTGCTGATGGTTGATGTGCCTTTTAAAAGATCTGATATTTATCTTGTATCCTCTGATTAAGACTTAATGCAAATTGTGTTAGCAGATCAAGTTGTGAATAAAATTTGCCAGAAAATTATCAATTATCATATCATTAGTTACTTTACAGTAACCCTATCACATTTTGATTAAACTTATCAGTGTTTATATATAGTGGGTTTATCAACACTTATCCTCTATCCACACCTGGCTATAACACACTCAACAGTTGTATTTAATGGTGAGTTTATAGCATTTTTACTACAATATTAATGTTGGAAATGTTTTGCATAATGCAGTTTCATCTTGGCTTTCATTGCATATTTCCTGGCACACTCCTGCTGCAGAGAGTTGATCAGAGCTCGGTGGGACCATGCAGGTCACAGATCAGCGGCCACAACACGAGCCATAACTCAGCCTCTGCAGTGTCACAGGCAGCAGGCAGGCTCATCCATAACCAACCTGAACACCAGCACAATCACACTGCCATACACACTCAACCCCCATCCTACCCTGCCAAACAACAGATGAAGATACTCTGTTTGTCTCCTGGATACTGGGGATGATTTAGTCTCAGATGCTATAATAGACTTGAACTGAAACTTAAGTCTTGTGGCCAAGTTTCAAACTACATACAAATGAGTAGGAAGTTTGGAGAATATAGTGCACCAGACAACCAAACACTGAGCACAAAATAAATACAAAATAAATATACTGCTGAGTAGATACAGGAAGATCACAGAAAAATAAAAAAAGAAAACAAAAATGCTTTCTTGTTGTGTTTAACATTCCACTGTTAAAGTTTACTGAGATCTGTTTGTGTCCATACATTACAATATAATTTCTTTTTGTACAAAATGGAGTGATGCGCGCATATCATATCTGATGGAAGGTAGAAATGAGTAACATTGCTGTGTGATTTGACTTCAATGTTGACATGAACGCTATTTGCACTCTGGTAATTATGGTAACCCCATATGACCTGGACATGCAACTCAGTTGCCAAAATAAAAATAGTCATTCCATTGTATGTTTCTGCAAACCAAGAATACATTACATTTGTAAATTATTATATAGCCAATTGTTTGAAACATTAGTTTTTTTATGTTTATTAAAGTGCTGTGGTTAACAGTTGGTTATGATTAAGAAAATGTTTTGACACAATCCTCGCTGGAAACACAGCGATGGCGTGCTTACTACAACTAGTTTTGTTAGTTGCTGGTCTTGAACAATGGTCTGCAGTTCGGCAAGTGTCTCGTCTGCATCTCACACCATCCGACATCCCCTCCTCCTCCCAATGACAAAGTCAGTTCATATACTACAACACTTTAGAAAAGCTGATATGATGGATATGAAACATACAAATGTATGGTTTTCAGAAATGTACAATGCCAAAATTTTTGACTGCCAGATGGGCTAGGACGCATTATATGTGACATTCAAATACTCTCAGATTGTGCATACTATCCAGATTGTGCACACTATCCAGCACGCACTAAATAGTGGCATGAACCAGTATCTGTAGGTACTTTCTGCAGTGGTGGAAAGTAAAACCCTGTCAAGTTCTATACTCTATTCAACTTTGAGTACTTGTACTTGTGTGTTTATATTTGATGCTATTTTACAATTCTACTCCACTACACCTCAGAAGGAAATATTTTACTTCTTACTCCACTAACATTTTTTAAAAGCTTTGGTTACCTCACAGATTGGATTAATAGCACAAAATACAATCAACAAATCAGTTATGATGTATTATTATGGATAAGGATAAGACCTAATTGACCTTGCAAGGAATTCAAAAGCTACCCAACATCACATCAGTTAGTTCAATTTAGCTCAACATTTACCAGCTGCAACATTAAAGTGATGATGACATTAATGCATCAGTCAATTTAATCCAGTTATATTATATATTATTCTGAATGGGCCATTCTGAAAATAAGTAGACTAACTTAATTTTGAATGCCAGACCTTTACTTGTAACAGAGTATTTCTACACTGTGGTGTTACCACTTTTACTTAAGTAAAAGATCTGAGTACTTATTCAACCACTGAGACCTAATATCTGTCACTACTGTCTGTATCTAAATGTCTGTGCACAGCAGTTTCAGGATTCATCACTGAAAAGTGTTTTTGGAGTCTGCAGAGGGTAAGTGTGTTCCATCTTATATTTTCTTTTAGGTGGCCACAGGGTACCAAGGCAAAAATGATAGAGGGCCAAACACACCACCTGCCATGTCACATGTGCCCTCTAGTTTTGCTTAGTGAGTTTCCTTCACCTAGAGATGATCTGACCCTTTCAGCTTCCTGCTCAGCTGTCTGTCATTCCCTCATCAACCTGTTGCCCACCTGTTGTTTATGTCCTGCTGATTCTTCCCTTTGTTTTCCTGATTCCCCCGTCTGCCAGGTGCAGACTAAAATCTAAATGTCATCCATGTAAATCACCTTTAACTATCTGATGTGTATAATTCATTTTGCATTAAACGCTCCTTTTTGTTTGCCAGCTCCCCAACTTTAACTGAAAATGCAATAATAACAACCCCAGCTGAAAGTTGGTTCATGACATGTTATAAATGCAGCGTTTGACAAATACTGCTCAAAAACTCATCTGAAGTATTATAATTCATCTTTTCCAAGGTTAAAACTCAAGGGATGTGAAGAAAGAGAGTGGAGGCAACAGATGAATTGGTGAGCCGCAGTGAAAGTGTGCCACAGCCAAAAGGTGAGCAGCACAGCGTCTGATTAGGACATGAATCTAAAATGTAATTAAAGTGAGAGCGGGCTTGTCTGTGACCTGACGACAGCACTAACTAACAGCACAATCAGTATTCCTACACCTTCCGACGGCACATGAGAGAAAATGCTCCTCTAATATGTCAATTAACCAAAAAATCCCACTTATCCCGCTCCCAGTCCATCAGGTTGTAATGAAAGAGATTCATATAAAAGAGGCTTCAGGTGTTTTAAAAGTTCTTTCTCTTGTATTTCTTAGTTCACAATCTCAACTCACACCACTCATTCGTTATTCTCTCGCCCTGCAGCCGGCAGCTCTGCCGTCTGTTTAATCAGTGATCCGATGTCATTTGGGGCTAATTGCAGCTGTAATGAGTATGAATTGTTTTGTGAAACAATGGCTAACGTACCATTACTTCTGCAGCGGTTACTGCATTACTCAGCCTGATCAGGTACAGACCACACACAGAGAACTCACTTTAAAAAGAAGAAAAAGTGTCTGTCTCCTGTCTCCTTGCAGACAGACACCTCTTCTGATGTCTTATTCACGTACAAACAAATGTGCTGAACATTTTTTATGGTACATTCATTTACACGTCTTTAAAAGAGTACTTCACTGCCACTCTTCTATAACACTCGGACTCTTACAAATGATCAAAATCAATGCAACAGAACCAAAAATATCGTCTTTTTTATTCAACGCATTCTTCTTCTTTGTC